ACACCTCGGAGAAGCTGTTAATGTGCTGCTGGTATTGAGGCGACCCTAGAAGGATGTGTAAAGTGTTATTGTCTGTATCAGTGATCCCCAAAGGCTGCAGACCACAAGTGATCAGTGAAGCTAAAGACGAGGTTATTTCTCCCCCGTTTTGTTGCTTTAAAAAGTGCCCTGCATGTGTGGAGGGACATTTTGTTAGCAAAACAACAGACCCACTCTAGTGTTTTTCTGTTAATGCAATACAACTTCATCTGATAATACTTTATCTTAGTCCTCACACGCAATTAACACATAGTCTGTGGGTGGTGAGTTCCATCAGAGCAGCATTTTTTCTCAGTCTGTTGAATCTCCTCGCAGCCTAAAGGCCCTGACACACCAAGGAGGTTGTCGGCTATCGGTGGAACGATCGTCGCCCCAGTTTCTGTGTCCAGCTCAATCGCTACCCATCAGCCCCCATTAGCCTTTTTTCGACATGTTGAGTCGGTGCGGTCGGTGAGAGGAGTCTCTCTGATTGGCTGTTGGGAGGTTTCATTTCTCTCCAGCTCTCCTCACAGGTTCAGTAAAGCACCTTGAGCATGCCGCTGTAGTATCCCTGCTTTCACCCATTAGTGCGGTTTCTCCTTATTTGTCTCCTCCGCCTCTTATTTTCTTTTTCCACTAAAAGACAAAGGGCTGACAACGCCAGCGCCATTTTCAGCTTTTTAATCGGACATTTTTCTCCATTAGCAGGCTACCTATAATACAAGTGGTGAGCGACAGCGGTGTGAAAATGGTCTTCTCGTATCATAACAACAGACTACCTCCGCTTGCTGGCATGGAGAGGTATTTTTCGTGGTGGTTGGCCGTCGGCTGTGGTCTTTGCGGTGTGTTCAAGTGCAACTTTTTGACCAAGACAAAAGGCGACTCCCCAGTTGGCCTTCTGCCACACAATCAAACATCATTACTCCCACAATAACTTGAGTACACAAGCTAATGAGTTCGGAGCCGCAGACTAATCCTGATCGTTTAAAAAGTTAATCAGGAGAACACCTCGGAGCCGCTTCCTGCCTTTAATCCTCCTGCATACAAACATGAGCAGAGCTCAGTATGCAGAGGGGAGGGGCTCTGATTTCAAACAGTGAGCAGGTCAAAGGGGCCGCAGCTTTTATGACAATCTGGGGAGGGGATCCTGACAGAGGCTCGAGGGTTCCTGCTGTTAGAGTCACGACCCCCGAGCTGCAATCAATAAACTGCAGACTGACATGGAACCCACTAAGGTTGTTTTGAAACAATACGATCTGTTATTTCAATGATCGATGTAAAAAAAAAAAAAAACGTCAGATCTTCAGTCCAGTCCTGATTTTGTCGTCGTTGTCATTGATGATACGTGTTTGGTCTTCTTGTTTGTTTAAAGTTTCTGTAATCTGGAGAGCATTGGACATGAGAGAAACCTTGACGTCCTTTGGATGATTAAATAAAGGTTTGTGTGAAAGTGAGGGAGCAGCAGTCCATGTGTCTCACATCCTTTCAACCTCTCAGAAAGTTGCATATCTTACTTTAATGTTTTTAACAGCATCAAAGAAAATGAGCCAGAGAGAGAGAGAGATGACGTCTAAATTGCACAAATATGTTGCCAGCATTTCCATACCAAAACATGGCTGATGTAGTCGATGGTGGTCTCCATGCTGGAAATGCTGTCTCAGCCTAACTTTCAGTCAGCCTAACGACAGGCTGAGAGCTGCAGCTGAGGCGGATTTTAAGCCTCCTGACAAACCGTTACACCGCGCCCACCTGTCAATCAGGTCAGCTACACGCCTTATTGTGAATAACTCTTATCCTTCATCGAATCAAAACTGATGAGTCATCAAAACATTCACCTCTGTACAGTGTGTGCCGATCAAGACATGAAGCTAATCAGACCTATTTGTGTTTTTGAATCAGGCTGTAAACATGTTAATCTCTGCTGTAAAAACAGGCTTTTTAGAATGGGTGTGTATGTGACTTCCTGTGCTTCTGCAGGCAGCCTCTTGTGGACACTCGAGGAACTGCACGATTTTACACTTCAGCATCTGCTTCATTTTCCAAAACTGGAGGTCGTTTGTGGAAAACAAGTCCAGTCCTGGAGTTGATTAAAGGAATTAGCTAGAATTTAATCCCCTTGATACAGAACTTTTTTTTAATAAAGGGTCATTTCCTTGAACTGCCTAAATGTCATTTACTCTCATCTTGACTGCAGGAGGCTGAAACAGTTGGAGGGTTTTAAAGACGTGAATGTCAGCTGAATGTTGAAGAGACAGACGCTCGGGCAGACTTCATTAAATACTTACATTTACTGACTGAGAATCAAAGACACTCAGCAGCTCACACTTGGCCAGACCTTGACAAGAAGAGGACATGGTTGATGGCTGAAATATAAATCTGCATAACTGCTGGATATTTAGAAGATGGGAAACGATGTCATCATCAGGACCGGGACTCAGGCTGCAGATCAATGTGGTTATGTAACGTGATGCAAAACTGTCTGCCAGATATTTGACAATCACACTTTGGGAGTATGAACACAAGTTTGTGATCTGAGCGAGGAGGCAGGCCAGAAAGATCAAACACTCGGGCTGTTCTCTGAGCCGCTTGTTGTTCCACTTCTTCAGTGATCTCTGTCTGCTCACCAGAGTCTGCGTCCGGCCTTCACAGCTTCCCCCGCACATCTTTACCCCCCTCTGTATCACGGCTCAGAAACAGAAGACTTCATGTTGACTTCATGAATTTTCTTCTAATGCAGAGGATCATTGAACACAAACAGGGAGCAGTTTGCAGGAATCCTCTGACCTACTAAAGACTCTCACTGTTAACCTCCAACACGAGCAAACACGAGCATCTGACAGGACGTCGAGTGGAGTTTGGATAATGACAGAAAAAGTGTGACATATTGTCATTTTTAAAGATTAAGAAAATACATTTGACTAATAAAAACACAGCGACTCTCCAATGAATATACACAGGCTATTTGCAATGCAAAAACAAACAAGAACAGTTTTTTATGCAAACTGCTCGGCTCTACCTGTGAGGATTGAAAAAAAAAAAGGAAACATCCTCACAGGAATATCAATGCATGACGAGCCTGCAGAGTGCATCACCCCCGAGCTCAATCCAGCATCTTCAACCAAACATCGATCGACTGCAGCTCTGGTGGTCTTTGAAAAGCATCCGCAGCTGTCCTCCGCAGCATCAGGTTGTTGTTATTGCCCCGCTGGGTTCTGCATGACAAATGGGGGCCTCCGTCATGTCTTGTTTAACATCCCCGATGATTGTGCATCATCTTCTATTACAGGCTGCGAGCCCTGAGTCATCCTCGCAGGGAGAAGAAAGGCTGTCAAACATTCCTAACAAATGAGAGCCTGCGCTCAAACACATGCCAGCGTGTAATTCCTCAAGCAGCGGTGGTCTTTTCTCTAATTTAACCCCCACTGGACCCCGCTAACCTCCCCCTTTTTCTCTGGATGTAAGGTTGGATACGGGGACGTGAATACGAGGTATTTCAGCCTGCTAAACGCTATGAGCTGGTTGGCTTGGGGCCAAATCCCCATGGTAACCAGGAGCAGCCTCCTTCCTGTGCTGGACTGAATAAGCTCCCTCTGCTCTGCATGCAGGAGGGAGGTGAAGGAGACGGAGGAGACTACATGAGTTAGGGTTGCATCGTCATGGAGTCTTACACACGTCTGATTAACGTCCCTAAATCACACACAGCAGTTTGATGCTCTACACTAAGAAAGGGTGAGGTTTAAAAATGTTCAAAAGAAAGTGAATCTTTTGGATACCACGAGTTTGAAGACGATACAATCTCATTTTTTAATGATCGACAAGTACATAAACTTTATAAAATAACAGATCTTCAGTCATCTTTTTTTATCTAATGCTGCCGCTTCAGGACAGAAATGTTGTGAAATGAGTATACCTGCAATGTCTGTTCATTTAAAACAGGAAATTGCTCTATAGATGGATATAGGACTTCAAAGCAGTTGTAGATATCATTTCACCTTCACATGAACCTTAAAAATCTGGTATTGCAACAACCCTACTTGTGACATCAACGAGGACACAGAAAGCGAAACAGAAAAATGAGTTTTTATGACTTTTGTTGTGGTCGCATCAAAACAGCTGAAGATATCGTTTGATTTTGAACAGAAACAGAAATCAAATTTGGAAATCGTACGTACAGGACACAGACAGCGCTCTGTGTGTGTGTGTGTGTGTGTGTGTGTGTGTGTGTGTGTGTGTGTGTGTGTGTGTGTGTGTGTGTGTGTTGTGTGTCTGACTGTGTGTGTGTATGTGGAGCTCCCACTGTGCTTCAACAACGCATAAATGTGAACTCACAGAATGGATCACCAATATTACAACCATCGCAGAATTAATATGATCTTACAAAGACGTGATGAATAGGTCTATAGTTTCATCTTTTAAGAGGTGCGGGTCACTCTTCTGCATAGACACAGGACTACGTGAAGCTACTGAGGTCTACAGAAGTATTTCAGGCTTTTTGTCTTGATAAAAACAACAAGGAAAGGGATGTTGAATAAATCCCGATCAGAGTATCGTGATGATAGGTATCCAACCATATAGTTACATCCCTGATTAGACAGACAGCCTTTTTGAAACATCGCACCTGATTGGAGCTTTTTGGTGAATCCGCTGAGCTCTTTCATTGGATTTCTCGGGGGGAAAAAAACAACCAAACAAAAAAAAAGACTTTAATCTGCTCCTCAGATCAATAACCGATCATTATATGTTGCAAACTAAAGTTCACTGTTTGTCTTTATGTTTAAAAAAGCTCTTTAAATTGCACCAAGCCTGTAAGAAACGCTGCAGAAATTAAACTTTTTTCTGTTCGGACATGTGCGTGTTTGCATCGCAGTCAATACCAATCAAAGGTCATTTATTCTTCACAGTTCAAGTCTCCAACATTCATTCTGATGACTCATCTACAGGTAGAGATGGACCCACAGCTCCACATTCACTCTCTCTCTTACCTTTCACTTGGCTCTCGTAGTCCGCGATGATTTCTTTATCCTTTTTAAACCTCGGTGAGGACATTTTCTGCCTCTTCGTGTCCCACTCTTGTTGTAAACTTCTTTTCTTTTCTTTTTTTTTGTTAGTCGTCAACAAGCGGATCCTACAGCAGCCGACGCATCCCGCACAGGACGAGGGGGGAAATCACCGCGAGAGGACGGAGAAGAAACGCGAGACTAAATGACACTTTGGTTATAACTCTGCACACACACGCACACAAAAAAAAAAAGCAAAAAGAAAAGGGTTACTTCTTCATTGTTCCTCTTCTTTCTGTTTGGAGAGCCAATGCGCAATCCTGCTCCGACACACGGATCCGCTCAGTATGAGAGCAAGCGGCGCGGAGCAACAGCAGAAAGAAAAAACACACACACACAATCACGCAAGTTTTCAGGCTCTCCTTTGCGTGTTTTCACAGCTCTCTGTAAAGTTGTCCCGACAATCCGTCCGTAAAGGCTTTAGAGTCGGCCTGAATGTTGCGCGTGTGCGTGTGTTTTAGTGTTGGTTTTTCCAGTTTGGGAGCCGCACACACACACACACAAACACACACACACTCACTTCCCCCCCTTTGCTCGTTCTCTCCCTCGACGCTTTCTCCCTCCAACTCCCAGCAGGCTCAGAGGCAGACAGGGCAGGCCGACTGCAGCACGCAGCAGCTGGAGCCAGGAGGGAGACGAGAGGGGAGGAGAAGGGAGTAGAGAGAGGAGGGATCTCCTGCACACTCATCCAGCTAGTGGACACCAGAGGACTGACACCCTGCTCCCGAATCCGAGGGTTTATTTTATTTTATTTGTTTAGCTGCTGCAAACTAAACACAAAACAAGTGACCAAAGGTTTCTGCAAGTGGCGATTTTAGAGTCTTGTGGGGCCCTGGGCTAAATATTCACAGGGGCCCCTCCAACCAGCGCTCATCATTATAAATGATCGGGCACAGTAAACATTACTCTAAAGATGGCAAAGAGATCATTTATTTGGGTAGCATTGCCCTAGACCAGGTTGACTCTTTTTTGTTATTTTATTCTCTTAACAAGCAGCATGCAGTCATGTATGATCGTCTTTACAGATAGGCCTGATTCCTCTTCATATTCCTTTGGATTTCATTGACACTTTGTTTTTCACAGGAATAAGAGATGCAACACTCAGCACTGTCATGCACACTCATAAAGCCTGCAGCTCATGTAGGCTGAAACCAGTGGTGCAGTCAGTCCGTCAGGCCCCGTTCTCACAAGATGACTTTGGGTGCTTCTGAGATTAAAGGTGGTGCAGCAGCCACAGTGACCTGCAACAGCAATGACAAATAGTGCAGGACAGTGGTTCTCAACTGGTTTAGCCTCAGGACCCACCACCACCATCTCCTCCATGAGAGCCGTGACCCTAAGTTTCTGATATTTTTCAACCAATCAGGTTTATTTCATGAATGATGGTGCAGTTTTGACCTCAGATGTTTTTTTAAAAAAAACAAACATGACAGCACAAATATACAGAGAAAGAAAACATGTTTAAAAGGCACTTCATGAGTTGAGAACCACTTGTGTAGGTGTTATGGGTCCCTCGTGGTCCTCTGTGAACAGAAGGGGTCACAGGATAAACAGACTTTTGAATTTGCACAATCACACTCAGCTTCTGCTGCTCGACTTCAGGGAGTCGAGGATTGTTGTGAAACTCACATAAACCTCAGAAGAGGAGCAGATCTTTTTAACTGCCGACAGACTTCAGACTGAAACACCTTCATGCCTTTAAGTCTCCTCATTCCTGAGCGGTGATGTGTTACAGAGCAATGCAGGAGTGTACTCAGATTACTTTCTATTGAAACAGGCTACATGACACATGGGTTTTACAATTCAAGTCATCAGTTATGTTGAACATATTCAAATAAGCAATCTTACTTTAAAATGTTTTCCCTGTTCTGGATGTTTACACACACACACACAGAGAAACCCCTGATGCATGACATTATCTGAGATGTTTCTCAAAGTCCAAAGTTAATATTCTCCATTTTACCAGCTTCAAAAGGTTTTATTTCTTTGCATCTCATCTGAGAGTAACATTAGTGCACTAAATGAAAAGGTCAACATCGCCATCTGCAGGGGAAGAACAAGAAGGACAGGCAGAGCCACTGACTTCTCTTTACTGCAACAGTCGGCTTTCTTTTATTGCACTTTCTTTAAAAAAGATCCATGCAGCACAGAACAGAAACAAAGAAACAGTTTTCGATCAGTAAATCATGCCACAGCAACGACGTTCCTTTTCAAGCTGCTCACCAAACAACACGTCTCTACTCACCATTTAGCCACGAGGCCCTCGATAAAACCGGCACCGAATGTTTAGTGCATACAAACAGATATAAAACACAGCTGAGTTAATAACACTTTAAAATGCAAAGGCAGTTCATCGTTTCTAAAAGAGCTGCACATTCCACCATTGTAAACATGACGATAATAAATATAGGTCCTTTAAGGACCTCTCACAGCAGCTTCATCACTACAGACATGACCAGCACAGGAATAATACACAGATTAAATCATGTTCATTACACCAGTAGTAAGTCACATTTCTCCACAATCCACAAAATAATTTAAACCACTATGGAACATCGACCCCTGCGTAAAGGTTTGTGAAGCGCCATCACAGTCAGACGCTTTTGAAGAAGGTCTCCTCGATGACCTCGGTGAACCTCTCCTTCATCTGCTGACGGAAACCTGCGTACCACTCGAGCAGCCTCCTCCTCCTGTCCACCCTCTGCTCCTGGCTCATCGCTCGCTCCCGCTCCAAGATGGCCGGCAGTTCTTTCCAGTCACTGATGAAGACGAAGGGCGCCCCGGCGGCTTTGAGCAGACGCAGAGGGGAGCTGGGCCCGGCCGCACACGTCCCGGGCGTCAGGACGTCCTCCACCACGGGCACGGAGCCGTACGAGCACGCCTCGTAGATACGGTAGCACTCTGTGTTGATCCCGACCGGGCACAGGGTGAGCTCGCTCTGCGCCAACGCTGTTTGATAACTCCTCAGACTGTCGGCCGTCTCCTGAGGGAGCCACCTGAAATAAAGGACGAGGAAAGAATGCTTAAAATACAGTTCATGCTGCTGTGATAAATATACAGAGCCGGTCCAATGGGAATATTCGTCTTATTGCTTTCTCACCTTTTCTGCACTGACGACTTAAATAGTTCAAACATTGTTAAAATTCAACAATTAAAATGATAAGACACTAATGTTGTAGTACTTGAAATCGGTCTTGATCTCGAGACCACTTTTTGAAGTTCTTGGCCCCGTCACATCAGTCAGACATTTAAAAAACATTAATTGACAGTAAATAATTTCCTGTTTTTTTTAAGGACCTTTGATCAAACTGAGTTCATGGGATCAAGAACATCAAGGCTTTAGAGAAACTTTCGGGCCATTTGAGTTCCAACTACTTCAGTTTATCTTCTTCATGTTAAAATGTGGAGCCCTTTACAGACTGATAGTCCACTACAGCACCGCAACGAAACTCTGCCGTCATTACGCCTACAGACATTCATATTGGTGTTGCAACGGTGTAATCCCGCACGCACGCACGCACGCACGCACGCACGCACGCACGCACACACCAGTGCTGTGCTCCCTCGCTGTCTCTCCTCTGTTACTACAGAGAGGGGAACACTTTTTCTTCCCATTACACCTCCATAATCAAAGAAAAAACCTCTCAGGGATGTGAATATCGCACCTGGAAATGGCGTTCTGAATAAGGCCATCCTTAAATATTATCCCTCAGGTTTCTCCAGCGCTCTACAAACGGCATCAAATCGGACGAACGTTTGGTTGATACAAAAGATGTTTTTTGATCCACTGCACGAGGGTTCAAAAGGAGCCAAAAGGAGGTGGTTTGGGCTTCTGATTAGGATGCCTACAGGTCGCCTCCCTCTGGAGGTCTTCTGGGCATGTCCAACTTGGAGGAGATCCCAAGTTAGACCCAGAGCTCGCTGGAGGTATTATATATCCCTGTGAACGCCTTGGGATCCCTCAGGAGAGAGAGAGAGACGTCTGGAGCAACTTGCTTGGCCTGCTGCCACCGTGACCCGGCTGGGAAAGCGGAAGAAAATGTATGGATGGATTCATGAGGATTTACCTGATGATATAAGGGCTAAACTCTCTTTGCTCTCTGATACTGAAACTCACCTGAGTGAAGTCATTTCTGTCCTTGAAATGTTATATCAGTGCTTAAAATGTCACCACAAAAACAATGTAAATTACAAAGCATTAGATTTGATTTTGCAGGCAGTCGGAGAAACTCACAAAAGTATTTGCCTCTTGTATTTCAATCCTTAACGATGACTTGACAACATATCGCTGACTTACTTCTCCCTGGCTGTGGTGATGCATTCTTTCTCGAGACCTGATTGTTTCAGCACCGTCATGAGAGTTTCCCTGGACGAGTTTTTGTAAACAGTTCCTAGAAAGTTACAGAGGTATGGTCTGCTGGAGGTGATCAGCTGAGTGTTAGGCCTGATCATCGGGAACTGTCTGTACCTGCACAGAGAGAGGAACACCAGAGCAGCGTGTTTGACATGTTGACGCATTTAAAAAGAGACCTTGTGCACAGTTTGACAAACTGATATTGAATACATACGTGGCGACACCGAGAGGCCACTGGAAGACGTCCTTGTCGTTGATCCAGGGGCTGTCGTACACCACAAACAGCAGCTCCACAAATCCACCGTTTCGCTTTAAGTAGGGGCCGATCCAGCCGTTGTTGCAGTGCTCGTTACCCAGCAGGACCACGGCCACATGTGCCACTGTGTGGGACTGCACCAGAGCCTGGACATGCTCCAACCAGCGTGTGGAGTACGACACCTTCTGCTGCTCGCGGCCGTTCAGAACCACAACCAGGCTGTTCATATCCAGAGGGACGTGGCCCTGGACCACAGCAGGACCTGTGTAGAAACTGAACATCGAGGGGCGAAGAGGATGGACGAGTCAATCTCATGGTTCTGCATGATTTAGTGGTTATTTTATGACGTGCTGAGTCCTAAAAGCAGACCATAAACCTGAGATTTTTTTTCAGTATCAGACATTTGATTTGTTACCTGAAGTCGATCTTTCCCGCCTGAAGCTCTCCCTCTCTCCATTGTGCCACCTTGTCAGTGGGGTTGAGGGGTCCCTCTAGAATATGTTCCCAAAGGTAAAGCCCTGAGGAGAGAGAGAGCGCTCAATGCCACGGTAAAAATGTCACCATGTGCAGGGCAATCATGTTGTACCATTGACTGGCTTTAGGATCGGCGCATAAACCAGTGATATGTAGTTTACATCCATATCTACAAAGTGGACTCTCCAGGTGTTTATATTAGACGTTATTACCCAGCGTCATGAACTAAATGACAGAGGAAACATCAACTCAGTAGAAAAGGGAAAATCTTTTGGACGAAAACAACTTTGAATGATAAAGTGAACTTTAAAGTTTTCTAACATCACAGCTGTTTTCCTCTCTCCAAAAGAAAAGAGGGGAATGTGTTTGCCTTCAAAAGAACAAACAGAATTTTTATTTTTCCTTCAAAATGTTGCTCTTTAAATACAGACATCCTCCTTGACATCACCAAAGGTGTTCGCAGCAGATGAATCTTGTGTCGTGAATCTATGACTGACCTACGGCTGCTTTCCCCCAGATTTGGACCTTGAATCTTTT